GGGGTTGTTTCATATCACACGTGTCATTCAAATATAGGGTGTGGCAAAAAAATGTATACACACTTTGAGTAATGATAAAGGCAGTGTTTATTAAAATACATTTCATTTTCAAAATGTAATAGAATCTACAGACATAGTGTGTATACATTTTGGGGGGGCACCCTGGAGTGTTATGTAGAGAAAAATTGGATTTTTTTTTTTTAAATATATCTTTATTGATTTCAGAGAGAGAAAAGGAGGGGGAGAGAGAGAGACAGAAACATCAATGATGAGAGAGTCATTGATCGAGCCCGCAACCCGGGCATGTGCCCTGACCGGGAATCGAACCCCGATCGCCTGGATCCTAGGTCAACACTCAACCGCTGAGCCACGGCCGGCCGGGCTGGATCATTTTTTAAAAGTGGGGTCAACATACAGAATCCCAGAGATGTGATAAACACAGACTTTAATCAGAATGCTTGGGTTCCAAGCCCAGCACGACCACACTAACTTTTGGTATCACAGCTCTCCACCTGTACACCAGGACTGATGGGGACACAACCTCATTGGTCCTGATGTTTACAGAGTAAATATCTGTGAATTGCTTAGAACGGACCCTACTAGATAATATGTGTTATTTATTTTTATTTTTTATTCTTAAAAAATATGTCTTTATTGATTTCAGAGAGAGGAAGGGAGAGGGAGAGAGATAGAAACATCAACGATGCCAGTCATTAATCGGCTGCCTCTTGCCCGCCCCCTGCTGGGGATCGAGCCCACAACCTGGGCCTGTGCCCTGACCTGGAATCGAACCCCAATAGCCTAGATCCTAGATCGATGCTCAACCCCTGAGCCACGCCCGGCTGGGCTGATTGTAATATTTAAACAGCAAAACACAATGTATCCAAAAGAGCAAAGCTAACCTTGAAGAACAAAGAACAGAAGAGGCTTACATTACAGGGTATCAAGACCTCTTATGAAGTACACACAGGTGCTCAGTTTATGACACGGTTGACATTTGTCGTCAGAGCAATGTCATCCGATCTTTTCAATAAACAGTGCTGGGTCCGTGGGAAGTCAATACGGACACAATTTATGTTGATCTCTACAAACACTCTACACAGAAATCAATTCCAGAGGGACTGGAAGTAAATGTGGAAGGTAACACTGCAAAGCATATAAAAGATAATACAGGAGACGACCTTTGTATTCTTGCGCTACGCAAAGATTTGTTGTCAGGACACGAAAAACACAATACCTGAAGTCAAAGGTTGATAAATGGACCTATATTAAGATTAAGAACTTCTGTTCATCAAAGGACACCATTAGCTGGTTCAACATAAGAAAATGAATCTGTGATGAATCATATTAATAAGATAAAAAATAATAACATGATCATCTCAATAGATGTAAAAAAAAATTGACAAAATTCAATGCCCTTTCAAGATCAAAATAGCCAACAAACTAAGAACAGAAGAACACTTCCTCAGGGCATCTATGAAAACCCCGCAATTAACCGTACATGCAATGTAGAAAGACCTAATGATGAAACTGTAAAAGACCTAAGGTTATTCTAAGGTCAAGATCAAGACAAGGCTGTCCATTCTGACCATTTTTATTCAGAATTGTTCTGGAGGTTCCAGCCAAGGCAGCTGGGCAAAGAAGTATAATAAAAGGCATCCAGATTGGAAAGGAGAAAATAAAATATCTCTTTTTGCAGATGACATGATCTTGTATAAAGACAATATCAGGACTCCATCCATACCAAACAAACCTATTAGAGATAACAAACGGGTTCAGCAATTTGCAGGATATAAGATCAATACATAAAAATCAGTTGTATTTCTATATGTTAGTGACGACTAACCTGGCAGTGAAATTGTGAAAACAATTCCATTTACAATAGCGTTACAGGGAATAACATACTTAGGGTTAATTTAACAAGAGAGGTGCAAGATCTGTACACTAAAAACTACAAAAAAAGCCACTGGAAAAAATTAAAGAAGATCTAAATAAATGGAAAGACATTCATGTTCATGGATTGGGACACTTAATATTGTTAAGGTGACAATACTCCTCAAATTGATCAACAGATTCAACATAATCTCTCCCAGAATCCTGGTGTCATTGTTTCAGAAACTGACAAGCTGATCCTACAATTGATATAGAAAAGCAATGCACCCAGAGTAGCTTGAACACCTGGAAAAAGCAGAATACAGCTGGACGATGCACATTTCCTAGTTTCAAAATTTACTGCGATGCTACAGCAATCAAGATAGTGTGGTACTGGCATTAGGACTGACATGAAGGTCAATTGGAGAGAATTGAGAATCCAGAAAAACCCTTCCATTTATTATGCTCAATTGATTCTGACAAGGATGCCAGGACAATTCGATAGGAGAAATAAAAAAATAGTATTTTCAACAAACAGTGCTGGGAACAACTAAATACATGCAAAGGAATGAAACTGGACTCCTACCTCACACCATATCCCAAAGTTCACTCAAAGTGCATCACAGACCAAAGCTAAAACTTTAAAACTCTTAGAAGAAAACATAGGTGCAAACCTTTATGACCTTGGATTAGGCAGTAGTGTCTTAGCTATGACACCAAAACACAAGCAACCAAAGAAAAAAATAAATAAATGAGACTTAACAAAAATTTTAAAATGTTGTGCTTCAAGGGCCGCTATCAGGAAAGTGAAAAGACAACTCACAGAATGGGAGAGAATATTTGCAAATCATGTATGTGATAAGGGGCTTGTATCCAGAATATATAAATAATCATACAACTCAATCAAAGGTGAAAAACCAATGCAATTAAACCATGGGCGAAAGATTTGAATAACATTTCTCCAAAGAAGATGTGAAAATGGCCAATAAGCACATGAAACTACGGTAATGGTGTCCTTAGTCATTAGGAAAATGTCAATAAAAACCAAAATGAAATGCCGCTTCACATCCTCTGTGAATTATGGCTCAATTTTTATGGCTCTAGGATCATAACCCAACAGACACACACTAAGCGAGGATGTGGAGAAACAGGAACCCTCGTGCCTTGTTAGTGGGAATGGAAAATGCTGAGACTGTTTGTGAGAAGTTTGACCATTTATCAAAAAGTTAAAACACAGAGCTACCATATAACCCAGCAATACCACTTCTAGCTTTAAATCCAAGAGGACTGAAAATGTATGTTCATACGAAAACACGTACACAAATGTTCATAGCAGCATTGTTCATAACAGTGAAAAAATGGCAACACATGAAGGGTCCATCAACCAATGAACTGAAAAACGAAGCCTGTTGTACCCATTCCATGGAGTGGTATTTGGCATGTGTAGGATTTCAAGCAGCAGCTCTCTGTGGACACTTGGAAAGAGCACTGTGAAAAAAATTCGTACGGAGTGGGATTGGGCCAAAGTAGAAAGACCTTCCAAAACCACCACTGGAGAACTTCTCCAAATAATGAATGTTGCAACCAGCTCCTGGAGGAAAGGTGCTTATATGACACAACCCTCCAGAAGATAGCTACATTCTACACAGTACAAAATGCATATAAATTCCAGGATGAAAACTGACTCCAGAAGGATGAAATGCATGTATTTCTCTCTGGAAAAACACTCGGTGACTACATTGGTGTCTGCTCCTGCAAAGTCTTTTGAGAAAAGTGAATTTTCACTGGTGGAATAAGTTTTGGGTTGCATTATATAATCTCTCGCAAGCGTGATGGGCAGCCTTCAATGTTGTTTCCTTAGAGAATGTGGAAATTCGCGAATTTGTATCCCAAGTGACTTGTAATCCAGGCAAACGCACACTGCACAACTCTTGCTCAAACAAGCTCTTACACCTAATGCATTCAGAACATGCAAGAGAGCAGAAAAGAAGGGCATTTGGCAGTGAAATTCAGACGGGCATGTACAAAAGGTCATTTCTATCGGTTGCAGAGAGCTAAAGCATGAATTACTTCATGTTCTCGATGAAACCCTGACATTTCCATGGGCCCTGAAGAAAGACTTTTAAGAAAAAAATGTCTCCGTGTGTCAATTCGCTATAAGCTTCCTAAAGGAGCTGTAAGGTGTGTCTTCAGTGCTGGAGCGTGACATACTCTACGTATGTTAAACAGCGTTTTCNAAGCTTCCTAAAGGAGCTGTAAGGTGTGTCTTCAGTGCTGGAGCGTGACACACTCTATGNGACTTTTAAGAAAAAAATGTCTCCGTGTGTCAATTCGCTATAAGCTTCCTAAAGGAGCTGTAAGGTGTGTCTTCAGTGCTGGAGCGTGACATACTCTACGTATGTTAAACAGCGTTTTCAGACCACCAACATGCTTAAAACTGAAACTGCTACAACGTGTGTGAAGCCTGGAGAAAGAGGCATCTTTCTAGGAGACATTTACCTTATAACACATCCCAGAGAAGAGGACCTTTCAAAAATGGACTTCCCTTGTCCATTTACTTAAAGATGGGACGACCCTGGAAAGAAGGCTTGTAATTTAAAAGAAATAACAGGAAACCGGCTTTTCTAGGAGAGGGGAAGATGGTGGCCCTCTGAGAAACAGCAGAGGCCCCGCTCCAGCCACGGACGCGATTTCCTCCTAAAATCCTACGTAACCAGCTTGAAAAACCCAGAGAAACATACCTGAGTGGACGGAGTGCGAGGGGGGAGCTCTGAAGAGACATCACGGAGTCGGGTAAGAGAGGGGGGCGCNTAACCAGCTTGAAAAACCCAGAGAAACATACCTGAGTGGACGGAGTGCGAGCGGGGAGCTCTGAAGAGACATCACGGAGTCGGGTAAGAGGGGGGCGCAGGAAGGGGGAGTCCCCCTGAAGCCCGTGCTGGGCTCCGAGCCCGGAGGCCTGGAGGCTGCGAAGCTCCCTCCCCTCGGGAGTGCGGACGGCCTCCAAAAGCGGGGAGGCCCACCCGGAGCGACGAGGGGAAGGAGCGCCCCGCGCACAGGGCAGGGGGGCCCAGGGGAGCGGTGAGTCCGTGAGGAGGGGACGGCGCCTTCCTGGGAAACAGCCGCTAATGGCGGCCGGCGCCTTCCTGGGAAATGGAGCCGCTAATGGCGGCANAGGGGAGCGGTGAGTCCGTGAGGAGGGGACGGCGCCTTCCTGGGAAACGGAGCCGCTAATGGCGTCCGGCGCCTTCCTGGGAAACAGCCGCTAATGGCGTCCGGCGCCTTCCTGGGAAACGGAGCCGCTAATGGCGGCCGGCGCCTTCCTGGGAAACAAGGCCTCTAGTGGCATCTGGTGCTCGGGGTACCAGCCATAGGGAAGGCTGTCCCAAAGTCTGTGGCACCCACACTGTGCTGAGCAGCCGCACACGGGGACCCTCGGCCTCCCTGAGGGGCAGTGTGTTGAGCCCCAGAAAGCGCTGAATCTGGGGGCACGGGGGAGGGGAGGAGCCCTCCCGCCCTGAGCTCCCGGTGCCGAGAGGCTGGGATCTGCGACCAGCCCTGAGGGGCACCATGGTGGCACGTGAAGCCGCCCCAGCTTTGCTGAGACCAGCGGTGCAGGGACTGCCTGGAGCTGACTTTGGGTCCCCTCCCGCTGGAACCCTGCAGGGCAGACTCTCTGCCTGTGTGTCGCTTTGTGCATTTGTGAGTTTGATCCTGGAACTGGTTCCTGCCTTCCCGGCGTGCACTGGGGGACAGACCAGCAGAGGCTGGGGTTGGGGGCTGCACAGTAGACTGTCTGAGGGGCGGGCTTGGTGCGACCAGCCAACCAGAGCTGAGCAGGGAGGGGCGGAGCCTGGGCCTCTCCCACAGCTGGGAGCACCGCCCCCAACAGGAAAGGGGCGGGTCCCGCTCACTGAGGCCCCAGACACCCCGCAGGGCACAGTCCTGATGCGGAAGGAGAGCAGCTCACAGGACGACTTTACAAGAATAAGACTCTCGGGGACTATTGTTTGGGACCTGGAGGAAATGCTGAAACCCCTGCTGGGGGCTGGGCAGGCACAGAGCTCACCAGAATGTGTTCTTAATCGAACCCACTGGGCCCAGGCTGCCGAAACAGCCCCTACAGAAAAGGCAACAGGCTGAAATCAATCTGAAGCTGCAGCAGGCCAGAGCCTGGGGGACTAGAATCAGAGGACAGGGTAGGGACCGAGGAGCTGGTGGTGGAGCAGAGACTAATTCCCGCAGAGTGAGTGCCTCACAGTGACACCTCTAAGGGGAGTGATACCCTGGGTTTCACTAGCCACCCTGCACCCTAAAGACTCTACAGAAGACTCTGGAGCAAGACCAGGCAACTACAAAGCTGCAAAATAGCTGAGAAGAGGAGGTGGCCCATGGAGAGCCTCAGATCAACCATCTACCTAAGGACACCAGAGCCAAACCTGGACAGCTCCTCACATTGGGGTGATACGCAAGTACCTCCCAGGAGAGCTGAAATCTCAAAAAACAGTGACCCTCAGACAACATAAGTTGCCCAGAAAAAACTCACCTGATTGTCTTTTTTTCTGCTGTTTTTTTGTTTTGTTTTGTCTTGGTTTTGTTTGGTTTTGGGGTTTTTTTGGTTTGTTTTCTGTTTGTGGGTTTGTTTATTTTTTCCCTTTTTTCCTTAGGAAGAAGAGAAAGGGGAGAAAATGTGTTTTTTCTTCTTTTTTAAATTTTATAATTATTATTTTTTTAATTTTTAAATTTTTTTTAACTAAATATTTTTTTCTTCTTTTTATAAAAGAATTTTGTCTTGCTTAGCTTGTTCTTAGTTTTGTTTTGGTTATTTGCTTTGTTTTGTTTTATCCTTGCTTCTACTATCAAGACTTTCTTGATATCCCTGCTTAACGACTGGGACTTTATCATTATAACCAAGTTTACTGCTTTTCTCTATATAGTTTTCCCCAAATCTCTTAGCGGACTCCCTCCCTGCCTGGGCTTTATCTCTCTCTCTCTCTCCTCTCAATCCATTGGCATAGCTTTTTTCTTCTTTTTCTTTTTTCTTTTTCTACTTTTCTTTCATTCTTTCATTATGCTCCCTTCTGTCTTCCTGTACAATTGTTAGTTTCTCTTATTCTCTTTATTGTATTTTTGTTTTCTCATTTTCAACTATTACCCTATTCCTGTTCTCTCCCTTAACTTTTTGCTGGCACTTCTTTCAGAATCTTTTCTCTGCTCCTATTGTCTCCCAGTAGCTTCTCTATTTTTTACATTTTAGTTTATTATTATTTTTGAAATTTTCACCAGTATTAACAACAATATACATCTCTCTCTCTAAGCATTACTTTTCTTTCTTTCTCTCTCTTTTTTTAAAGCNTACATCTCTCTCTCTAAGCATTACTTTTCTTTCTTTCTCTCTCTTTTTTTTAAGCATTTATGTGTGTGTGTGTTCTCTCTTCACTCTCCCAGTTCAATTTTCACNCTTCACTCTCCCAGTTCTATTTTCACATGGGTTGTTTTCATTGTGACTGTCAAGATATTTTGTGAGATACCTCTTGTTTCCTGGAAGTTTAGTTCCGTGTTGTCCTGCCTTGCCAGCACCCATACAACAGCTTACACGACTTGGTTGGGGCTGAGACACAGTTAGCCAACCTGAGAGGAGGGTCCTCCCAAGGAATGATCAACAACAATCTAGACCCAATCACAACAGGAGAACATAAAGAAACCACAAAAGGAGCACCCACAAGAGGGACACACCTAGAGCAAAGAGCACAGAAGTATACATCTCTGGGCACCCCTGGACCCACAAGACAAAATCCCATCCCACAAGACTGGGAGACAGCAAATATATCTAATATATAGATTCAAACACTAAGACCTACCAAAATGGGGAGACAAAGAAACAACCCCCAAATTAAAGAAAAGGAAACATTGCCAGAAAAAGACTTTGATGAGATGGAGTTAAGCAAGTTATCAGAAACGGAGTTCAGAGTATGGATGACGAAGATGTTCAAGGAACTTAAGAAGACACTAGATGATAAGACTGAGGACCTTAGTGAAAACATGAAAAAAGATACATACCATAAATAAAACTCAGACAGAGATAAAGAATGCTGTATCTGATATCAAGAATGCACTGGAAGGAATTAAAAGCAGGCTCAATGAAGCAGAGGATAGAATAAGTGACTTAGAAGACAAGGTAGAAAAAAATCACACAATCAGAGCAGCAAAAAGAAAAAACACTTAAAAAGCATGAGGACAGTCTAAGGGAGCTTTGGGACAACATGAAGCGAAACAACATTCGCATTATAGGACTGCCAGAGGGGG